CAATATGTCATCATCGGTGGGCTGAAACCGATTGACATACTTTTTCTGCAATAAAATCATACGCAAATGAAAACTGGTGCGGAAGTTCTTGCGGATGAGATACTAGTGATGCTGGACTTGCTGGATTGTATAATTCTGTCCGGTGTTCTGTAATGCACGGATTGTAACGATGATTCAAGACGACCACCAGGCTTGAGTTAACGGATACCATCATATATTTGCAGAAACAATTTGTAGCTGTTTTGAGATTGCGGCTAGTAGCGCCGTTTGTTTCTGCTTCTCCTAGTATTTAGCATTTTGCTGAATTTCCATAACTAGCATGATGGAATCCACCAACAAGAATGTCCAGCTGTTGAAAATGAAATTGCCTGAAACTATTGTTCAAGCTAACAGGGAAAGTTTAACACTTAGCTCTCCTGGAATTCTCCGGAATTCCTTTTGGAATTCACTGCGTTTAAGCTCAAGAGCGGATAGTGTCCTTATGACAACATAGTCGATTCATAAAGTGCTATTCATCGCATCATTTTTCATTTTACTTCCTCCCTTTGACAACTTTGAGAAGTAGCATCCACAAGCACTAGGAACATCGCCACGAAGCTTATATGCAGGAGAAAAAGAAACGTCATGATATCAGCTATCTTCATCAACACAAAGATAAGTCTTATTAAGACTGCTTATAATGGGAACAATGGCGTTGCGAATATTACTCAAAAAAACTACGACCATGGCCCTTATTACCAATGTCACTTCACGGTGAAGTGACAACTTATCACTCACGCTGAAGTGATTCCCATTTGATATACACGGCCATCACTTCACAACAGCAGTCCCCGAGGAAAATTAAAACAACCGGTGAAACTAACGATTTTAAATTCGCTCACTACTTGACTAGCCTATTGGCCCCAAACAAATCGATTAACGTACCCCATTTCAGTCGAAATTCTAGTACGACACTATGTTTGTTTTGATTCGCCATGAAAGTTTGAAAGATACAATTAGGGATTCGTGGATTTTCCAATGTTTCGAGGGGTACATCGATTAGCTTGGGACCGAAGATAGAACCAGAGCTGAGCCAAAAAGTTGAGCACGTTTCTTCGGAAACCTGGGGGTCTTAGAGTTACCTCTATGATTAAAATCTGTCTGAGCGATCACTTCAAGTTCCAGGTGTTCAAAAGGCTACTATCGATGAGATGTTTGTCCCTTTCAAACAACTGCCGACCAACAATCCGTCGGAAGAGATTTCCAGGTTAGAGGAGCGCTTCAAGACACACCTTCTATGGCTTATGGGATATCGGCTGAGTGGAATCGCGTCCGCCTATGTAGCTCAATCTAATAGTAAAGTACAGGAAATCAAGAAAGAATTTCTACAATTTTGTTAATTTGAGTATTTTATAAAGTTAAAAGCACAATTAAGTTAATAATTTTTAGATGATCGATCAATTAAAAGAACTAAATGCTCTTAACATTTGTTCCGTCCACTAGCGGTCCTACGTCAAGCTTCCGTTCGTGCCTCTAGGCACAGATCCTTTTACTTTTTCATTAGGGTTTCCATTTTTGACAAAGAGTTATTGTTCCACTTGTCATTTTGTCATTTGGAGATATTTTTGATTCCTTGAATATGAGTGTTTTCTGAATGGGGACGACGTGTAGAGTTCGAAAAATCAACGCTGGACGCCATTTTGAAACCCATCGGTCATCGGTTTTAGATAAAAAAAAACTGTCAAATACCCTTCAATATGGGTATTTCCCGAAAGGGGACGAAGTATAGAGTTCGAAGAATCAATGCTGGACGCGATTTTGAAATTCAAGATGGCGACCGTCTACTTTATAAAAACTTATGTCAACCTTAGGATGGCTAGCTTGCCCCGTCAACGCCAAACAATTCATATATTGCCATTTCAGGAAAAACATTACGACGCAACTGACAGCTGCAGCATTAGAGTGATGCAAAATTTGAAATTTTCGCTCCACAATACTTAAACGGTTCCAAATCGGATCCTGAATAACTTCTCAAAATTTGAACCCATTTGGTGAGAAACTGAGATGGCACAAACCATTTGAAGTTTGTATGGGAATTACTATGGTAAAACCAAGATTTTTGTTCATGACTATCTGATAATTCACCATATTAGTCTGCTTCAAAAGTTTTCAACTGTACTTGTAGGAAATTTTCCCAGCTACAACTTTGCTCAAGACCACTTTTTAATTAAATGAAAGGATCGAAAGTTATCAATGGTTCAATACGCTGATGTCTTATGATCATGCTCAATCAACTGCTCAGCAGGCAACATTGGTGTTTCCGGGGTGTTGAATAGGACACACAAATCATGGCTACTATGTCACACTGCAAAATACAGTGTTGCCTACAGAGCAGCTGCTTGATCATGTAATAAGTTTACCAATCTCTTAAATAGGGTTACGGTATGTAATGTGGGTCTAGTCCTTTCATTCGGCCTATCACGCAAATAAATAATTAATTAAGGAATATTACACAAAAAATAAGGAAAATATTGATCACTGATGGTTGATAAATGTGTACCACACACAAATCAATTTATATCACAACATTTCAATACATTTTCAGCTCTCGTAAGTAATAAAACTGGTTGAGAATATCACAATGTTCGGAGTTTTTAGCCGCCATGACTTATAAGGTTAAGATGGGAAGGTTGACTGACGATCATCAAATGGCCTGATTATGGCATTTATTGATTGGAATTACCTGATAATACACACTAGACGTAAAACTTACAGTTGCTGTTTGAATATTTTATGTTTATTTTAATTGTTTAACAACGTTTTCACAAGTAAAACATGGACCCAACTTTAGGGACACATTTCTTTTCTATGTTCCTAACTATGGCCCATGAAATTCATTTGACAGCATATAGCAATAAGAGTAACGTCAACAATGTTGTTTTGCATTTGGATGATAAGGAACGAACAGGAAGGGAGATTTTTTCTGCCAAACCTGTATAATGAACATCACAATGTTCTGATTTAGATATTCTGTGGTCAAAAGACGATAAGCGAAATTTTTAATTTTTAATTTTTAAATTGAGTGATTTAATGTAGTTTTCGTAAAATTTTCTCTAAGAAATGTTTTGAGGAATGAAGAGCATTAAGTTAACAGTGATAGTGATAAAAAAAAATACATCAGAAAACGTTACCAAGAGCGTTTTTTTGAGGATCAAACAAGATAGGACGAAGTTGCATCCATAAATAGACCCAATTTGGGGACAATAGACCCATATTACATACATTTCCCTCGTGAGTTATTGTCTTAAAAAAAGTAAGTTTTTCAACTTTTCGTGGTTTCTGATAGCAAACGACATGATAAGCATATCTAAGCATACCATTTAGCAGTAGAATATCGTTTGCAGGTAAATTCATTGATGAGTTATGATTAAAAACGTAATCGATGGCTGCATATTAGACCGAGGTTAGGGACGTATACCCTAATTAATAATTTTTTCCTGTCTCGTTTTACATAGAAACGATCTTCAGCAAAGTTGTATCTGAGAAAATTTTCTATAAGAATGTCTATCGAACTGTTTCGCAGCTCAATATAGAAAAAGACTAGAAGGCAATGAACAAAAAGTTGAGATTTCCCATAGTAATTTACACGTAAACTTCAAATGGCTTGTGCGAAGTCTGTTTCTAACCAAATGAGTTGTAACTTTGAGAGGCTAATCAGGACCCGATTTGAAACCATTTAAGCACTGTGGAGCGAAAAAGTCAAATTTTGCATTAATCTACTGCAGCATACTATTAAAGCTGATAATCTAACGCCAAATGCTTTTTTTTTCTCTGAATTGGCAATAATAACATTTGTAATAGAAGGTTTTCCAATACGTGTTCATTTTACCACATCGGTAAGCATGTTTTCAACCTTCTACTCAGTAGGTGCTGCCAAATTATGGTTTTGGTCCTTGGAGATAATTCTGCACACTTTTTTTCCGTTGAAGGCCAATATGAAGAAATGATAGAAATTATGTTGATCTAGATCAATTTGGCTTTTCTAGAGCTGTTTTTGTAAAAACCATTTTTAATTTTCTCACGATTGATTGCACGTTTTTTGATCAAACTTGGCCAGCTAAAGCTAGAATTCAAGAGCAAACTCTGGCATTTCAGAAAAAAAAAACTGTTCAGTTCAAATGTTATTACAGTTAAATTTTCTAATGAGCCGATCGAAATGGTTTCTGCGCTTATTGGCCATCAGATGTTAGCACTGTAGTTTGTGGTGACATCCCAGAAATCCCTTTCACAGAACACAAAATAGAGTACCTGACACTGCAAAACATGTCTGGTGCCTTAATATATGCATTTAGATTCACATCCGAAGTCCTTCCTTTTTTGCATACTCGGCACAAACATACTTTCTGCGTCCCGCCCCTAACAGAATTTCCCGCCGTTTTTATGAATGAATCGAAAACAATATCAAGTAAGTTTGTCCCATCAAGCAAAGAAATCGCACATCAATCCCATCCTAAAATTCAATCGTAAAAAGATCGAAGTTACAGTTTTGCTTTTCGAATTGCGTCAGATCATCCCATTAGAAAGCTTAAAATTTCTAGCGTCTCGAACGAACAAAAAAAAATCCTCACCCGTCTCCTCCGCAGCTCTAGCAATCGAGTGCTACGTATGCAATGCGACCGATTCCAGCACCCCGTTCCAGTGCAGCGAGTGGTTCGACCGTTTCGACACACCGGACATCAAACCGCAGTCCTGTTCCAACGTGTACGGCGCCAAGTACTGCATCAAGCACATCGGTCGCTTCGAAGGTATATCGTCATCGTCCTCGTTTGGGAGGTGGAGGCTGTTACTAAAAAAAACGCATTGCTGATGCATGGCGCTAGCTTGGACATGGGCTAATCGTTTGGGGTTGGGTCATTCAAAAATAACACCAATTGACAACATTTGAAATTTGCATGACTAATTCGGTTTCGGATAAGAGGGTACCCACTAACAATCGTTTTTCATTTTGGTTCATATCGCAGCGCTAGGGATCCTATGCTATCAGTGCTCATCAGCCCACTCGATGTACTGTTCCGATATGTTGGTGGCGGACGAGGCGTCCCCCTTCAAGCCGGAACCGTGCGACAACGTGTTCGAGGCGGAGTACTGCGTCAAATCGACGGCCATGCACGGTTAATAGTTTGTCTTTGCGAGTTTCTGTGTTGTTTTTTGCATTGCTTTTTTTTTGTGTAAATAGATTTGCTTTGACTGCGTGTGAACAATAGCTTAAGACTTTCATTTAGGCTGTGAACCATTTGCTGAGTTAAATTTAACTCGTGGTTAAAAGTGACATTTCGAAAGTTATTTTCTATGTTCGAAAATCCCCGTGCTGTCGATCGACCGGTTTTCGAGCCACAGTTGTCAAAATTTAACTTCTTGTCTGTCAGAAGTAACCTTGCTCGGATAGCAGGGTTAATCGATAACTTTCCATCTGTCAAATTTTAACCAAAAGTTAAAATAATTCTCCAAATGGTTCAGAGCCTTAGGCATGCGATTTTAACTGGTGAATTGAAAACAGAGTACTCACATGATTCATTATTTCACCGACAGGTGGCATCGGAGCCAAGCGGTACTGTTCTTCCCGCGACCTGGGCAACTACTGCAACTATGTGCGTAATCCGGGCGACCAAATTGAGTACCGGTCGTGTATCTTCACCTGCAACACCGACGGCTGCAACGGTGGATCCCATCTCTTTGGCTTCCAGCAGACTTTCCTCGGCGTTCTGCTAGCTTCGGTCGCATTTGCGGTAAGACTTGCGCGGCAATAGAATGACCCAAAGCCTCGTCGCCATATTTGAAATCAGGTTGCATTTCTCGATGGCATCTCGCGCGGGTAAATTTGGGTAATTTTTCCATCGCTAAATGTGTATAATAAGTAAGTGTGTATTGTTAGGTTGAACGAAGCATTCCGTCTTGATTTTGGTCGATTCCATAATTCCGTCCTCAATTTAGTTGCTATTAGACGAAGAGTCTCCTTTATACATCGAGATATAGTTTTCAGTTGTAAGGCCGTAGACAATAAATTTCGAAACATTAAAGCAAGGATTTCTTTTGATTCTACCGAAGAGATAATTCACCTCACCAGTATTGCTAAGGTAATGATATTTCGTGTATGTGTAATTCGTCTTTCATTTTGCTTCGCACTTGAAGTTGACCACGACAGTAATAAGCGACTTACGGTAAGGAGTAAAAGTGGTACTTATTATCCACCCTGTAGATATTTACGCGAAAAGAAACGAAGGTGACGAACGTTTCATAAACATATACGATGCACAGTATCCGAACAGAACAATAGCAACTGCGAATTCCAGTTTGGGTGCAACAGCTTTTTGTCAAGTCAAGTTGCACTATACAGCAGGGGACACCAATCCGAGTCTCAAAACACAACTAAATACGCGGCTTCTCCATGTTAGGCACAGTTGAAGTCAGCTGCGAAGAGCTGATTCCCTTTGAAGACGCGCCCTTTTCGCAATTAGAGCTGGTTTTCTTAAGGCAAAAACAATTATGCATAGCAACCCTAGTCCTAATCTCCTTTTGTATCTTATTTGTCTCGGTAGGAATGATAAAAACGGACAAAGGTAGACCTTCCATCGTAACGCACCTTTGATAGGTGATCTAGCTGCGTTACGAATCGTTCTGTCTTCGTCTTTTTCGCATTTCAAGCTTATTGCATGTCGCATTATTAGCTTATTGCGTGCTCTGAACTTAGTGTTCTAGATGCACTTCCACAGTTATTAATTGAGAGCTTTCGATGCCTGTGCCATTTTTGCATTAGTATAATTGTGTGGCAAGTACAATCATACTCTAATTATGCCCAGGTCGACAAATTTCCCAGCTCGAAAAATTTCTAGACCGGACCGGGAATCGAACCCAGCCACCTCCAGCATGGTCTTGCTTTGTAGCTGCGCCTTTTACCGACTGAGCTAAGTGAGGCCCCACGAGTCGTTCTGTACGATTGCTGTAGTTCCGGAAGTGCTTGTGGCTCTTGTGGTCCTTGATTTTCCAGGTTTTCTACGGGAGTTTTTGTATGCTCCTGGAATTACCAGGAGTTCTAAGAGTTGCTGAACATCTGGAATCTGACAATTTCTTAACTCTTTCCCGCCCATGGTTACTCTGGAGCACCATGCTTTTTTTTTGAAATTACAACCGATTTTTGTAAAAATAGTATAGCATAGTCTAGTAGTTCTTCAATAATCGGAAGAAACTAGAGCAGACATGTCTCAAGAAATACTGGATTTTAAAATTGATTATGCCAAACCACTCTGGCCGAGAGAGGGTTGAGGTTCCCCACAGTTCTAAGGTTTGCCGGAGATCGAGAAGTTGCTGGAGTGTTTTGAAAGCTCTCAAAGTTCTCAGAAATGCAACGAATTGCTACAATCCCAGAAGACCCTACACACTTCGATTATGTTTACCAAACTGTCAACAGCTCGGTGAAACTTTTAAACTCAATTTAAAGTCTATGTTAAACAAAAGTTATGTTCCAAGGATTGCTGCAGTACAAGAGTTCTATCGGTTCTTTATGTCCCGCAAGTTCTATACATCTTTAAGATGTGGAATTACGTTCTAATGTTTGCTAGAGTTTCAAAAGTCTCTGAAAGTTCATAGAGCTTTGAAGTATATTCAGTTTCCAAGGATCTGCTCGAGTTCCGGAGGTCCCTGGAGTTCTGAGAGTTCATGAAGTGTCTAATGTTCCAGCAGTTCTATAGGAAGTTTTGAAATTTGGCAGAATACCAGAGTTTCTGGGATCTCTAATGGTTGTTGAAATTGCTGAAGCTCCTGAAATGTTAAGAGTTCTCGCACTTTGTGTAGTTTTGAAATATCAGAATTTCTTGAAGTTCCTAAGAGTTCTGAGGGTGGTTGGAGATCGAAAAATTTATGTAATTCTGCAAGTCGCTGGATGTTTTGAAAACACTCAAAGTTCTCAGGAGTTGTAAGGATCGGTGAAGTTCCTGAAGTAATATCCCGACAGTCCTACAGTTCTGGTAATGGAAGTTTAGAAAGTTCCAGAGTACCTGAGTTTCGTGCAGTTCCCAGAAGTTCTAAACGTAAGTGGAGTTTTAAGCGTTCTTATGGTTCATTATGTTCTAAAAAATCTAGGTATGATTCTTTAAGATCTGAATATTTTAAATATATTTATATTCGAATTTGAACGTTTTTTTAGAGTTTAGGCAGATTCCGAAAGTTCTCACTGAAATGTCTTCCATTTCTAAGGATTTGCTGGAGTTCCACACACTTAAACTTTTTGTCGAGATTCCAATAGCCAATTCCTTTACAATTTATTTTGCTGAGATCCAGTAAAATAATTGCCGTGACTTAGCTAACAAATTAGATTTTAATTGAAGACCCTTATTACGAAGTGAAGTGACCACTTGTCACTCACGTAGGCCATTTCTGCGCGGCGTGTGAGGTGTAACGACTCGCTGTCACTAGTGAAGTGACAATTGTCACCTCGGGTGAGGTGATTCTCCATTTGGGCCCTTATTACCGATGTCACTTCACGGTGAAGTGACAACTTGGCCCTTATTACGGGTGTCACTTCACGGTGAAAATGAAGTGAAGTGACCAGTTGTCACTCACGGTGAAGTGAATGCCATGTAAATCAAATGGGACTCACTTCACCGTGAGTGATAAGTTGTCACTTCACCGTGAAGTGACATCGGTAATAAGGCCCCTTATCACTCACGGTGAAGTGATTCCCATTTGATTTACACGGCAATCACTTCACCGTGAGTGACAACTGCTCACTTCACTTCGTTTTCACCGTGAAGTGACACCCGTAATAAGGGCCTTGATTTGCATGGAGACTCACCTCACCCGAGGTGACAATTGTCACTTCACTGTCACCTCACCTCACACGCCGCGCAGAATAGGGCCCTTATTACGGGTGTCACTTCACGGTGAAAACGAAGTGAAGTGACCAGTTGTCACTCACGATGAAGTGATTGCCATGTCAATCAAATGGGAATCACTTCACCGTGAGTGACAAGTTGTCACTTCACCGTGAAGTGACATCGGTAATAAGGGCCTAGGCCTAACGGTGAAGTGTTTACCCTGAGGGCTTATTACGGATGTCACTTCACGGTGAAAACTTGTCACTTGTCGTCACGGTGAAGTGATTCCCATTTGATTTGTACGGCAATCACGGCTCTTATTATGAGTATCACTTCCTTATCACCGTGTATTGACACCCGTAATAAGGCCCCCTATAAATCAAATGGGAATCACTTCACCGTGAGTGATAAGTTGTCACTTCACCGTGAAGTGACATCGGTTGAAATGGCCGATGGCCCTTATTACGGGTGTCACTTCACGGTGAAAATGAAGTGAAGTGACCAGTTGTCACTCACGGTGAAGTGAATGCCATGTAAATCAAATGGGACTCACTTCACCGTGAGTGATAAGTTGTCACTTCACCGTGAAGTGACATCGGTAATAAGGCCCGATATCTCTACAAAATATCTGTTTGTTGGGGCTTATTACGGATGTCACTTCACGGTGAAAACTTGTCACTTGTCATCACGGTGAAGTGATTCCCATTTGATTAGTACGGCAGTCACGGCTATTATTCTGAGTATCACTTCCTTATCACCGTGTAGTGACACCCGTAATAAGGCTCGTTAACTGAGATTTCGGCCCTTATCACTCACGGTGAAGTGATTCCCATTTGATTTACACTGTAATCACTCCACCGTGAGTGACAACTGGTCACTTCACTTCGTTTTCACCGTGAAGTGACACCCTTAATAGGGGTCATCAGCAAAAGTAAATGGCGAGGAAATCGGCAGTTGCAGATTTTACTAGAATGAGTGTACAGAGGTTCCTGCATTTCTGAGAACTTTTGCGGTTGTTACAGGATGTTTTGAAACTTGTCTGAGTACGGAGGTTCCCAGGATCTCAAACGGTTGCTGAACGTGCAAAAGTTCCTGCAATTTTAAGGATACCAGGGCCCTTATTACGAGTGTCACTTCACGGTGAAAACGAAGTGAAGTACCAGTTGTCACTCACGGTGAAGTGATTGCCGTGTAAATCAAATGGGAATCACTTCACAGTGAGTGATAAGTTGTCACTTCACCGTGAAGTGACAACGGTAATAGGGGCCCAGAATTTCTTGAAGTCATCAAGAATTCTAACGGTGGTTGAAAAAGATCGAGATGTTTCTGGAGTAACTGGTGATTTTAAAAGTTCCCAAAGTTCTCATGAATTCTAAGAATTGGGTGGAGATCAAAAGGAGTATGCAGTTCCTTATGTCGCGGAAGTCATACAGTTCTTGTGATCGTGAAAGTTTGGAGACCAGTACCCAGAAGTTCTCAGGGATGCTGGGTTTTCAAAAGTTCTTGCAATTCTGACTACTTCTGCGCTGCTTAATGTTCCAGGAGTTGTATAGTTATTTTAACTGTCGAATGTTCACGGTGAAGTGACAACTTATCACTCAAGGTGAAGTGATTCCCATTTGATTTACATGGCAGTCACTTCACCGTGAGTGACAAGTGGTCACTTCACATCGTTTTCACTGTGAAGTGACACCCGTAATTTTCGATTCCCGCAGTTATTGCAGTTCCAAAAGCACTTGGAGTCGTAGAAATCTTGAATTCACAGGTGTTGCGAGAATGCTAAAAGTTTTTAAAGTATTTGATATTGTCGGAGTCCTAAATGTTCAGAAAATCTGAGCAGTTTCCTAAGTAATTGAAGTTTCAAAAGTTTTCACAATCCCGGAAGTTCCAAAATCATCAGAGCTCTAGGAACTCTCGATATTGTTAGAGCTTCCAGAACTGTGAGAAATAAGTCTCAAAAGCTCCAATAAGTTCCAAAAGTTCTAGAACTTTTCAAATTTAAAAATTCTCGGAACTCCGGGAACTTCAATAATTTTCGAAATAACGAAATACTTCCGGAACTTCAGAAAGTTCTCACTGGGGAACATGTAAATACTTCGAGAGCTTTCTCACCGGGCTGGGGAACATCAAAAACTCTTGAAACTCCGGCCAGTCCCAAAAAATATAGCATACGCATGTGTTGTGAAAATTCTGAAAGTTGTTAGAGCTGATATTCTAGGAACTCTGAAAGTTCATAGAATTTGACAAGTTCCAAAGTCATCTGAACTCTAGGAACTCAATGGGCCTTATTACGGGTGTCACTGCACGGTGATAAGGAAGTGATATTCAGAATAAGAGCCGTGATTGCCATACAAAGCAAATGGGAATCACTTCACCGTGACGACAAGTGACAAGTTTTCACCGTGAAGTGACATCCGTAACAAGCCCCAATATTTTAAGAACTCGCAGAGCAACTTGAAATAAGTTTCAAAAGCTCCCGAAAGTGCAGAAACTTTCGAAAGTCCTGCAACTTTTCAGCTTTCAAAAACTCCCGGAAGTATGGAAATATCAACTTAGTTCTCCAACTATTGCTGGAGAACTTCAAAAGCTCCGAGAAATCCAAAAATATATAGAGAACTCCCGGACCTCCAGAAGCTTCCAGTACTCCCGGAATGACCTCTCGAAATAATAGAAACTCCCTTAACGTCCCGTACAGCTTCTACGTACGGCTTCTCACATTCACTCTGCCAGGAGCCTAACTGTTCCTGGAATTCTGAAATCCTTTCATGCATTAAGTACGCCACGCAGAAGAGAAAATCAACCTCCCATTCCCTATTTCGTGACATTTTTCCTATTGAAGAATCAAAGTGACGATTGACTCACAGATGGCGAGTTGGTGAAAATGGTAATGACGTTTTGATATCTGTCAAATTGCATGATTTTTTTTTTTAGTGCATCATCATTTTTGTAATTGCGGATCTTAAAACTAGGTGCCACATGACCAGTTTTGGCTTTGCTTTGATTCGCCAATAGCTAATGCATTTCTTGTCACACATTTTTAAACCCTTCTCTCCCTTAGAGCGTGACGTACTTAATGGATGCTTCCTTAATTCTGTGAATAGAATTATAGAATTTGAAGAGTTCCGGACATTCCAGAATCTAAGGAACTCTACAAAATCACAAGTTCAAGATCTATAAGAGATTTCCGGAAGCGTCCAGGGGGCTTATTACGGATGTCACTTCACGGTGAAAAGTTGTCACTTGCCGTCACGGTGAAGTGATTCCCATATGATTTGTACGGTAATCACGGCTCTTATTCTGAGTATCACTTGCTTATCACCGTGTAGTGACACCTGTGATAAGGCTCCAGTACTCCTTAAATGAACTCTCGAAATAACAGAAACTCCTGGTGCTTCCGCAAAGTCCAGAAACGGTCATCGAGGAACTTAATGTAGCGGGAATCTTAAAAATTTCACATGTTCCAAATGTTCCCGATTTGCCGAGGATTTCTCTTAGCTTCAGGAAGTTCTTTCAGTGCTAAGAGTCCCGGAAGTAATAGCAACTTCAAGAGTTACCGAAGTATCAAAAGTTCTGGAAGTCGCTCCTGAAGAACTAAAAATTCCAGGAGTTTCAAGAGGTCTCCCAGTTCCGATTATTTCTAATGCTTCTAGTAAAAGTTCATAGAATTTAAAGAAACCATCGGAACTCTAGGAAATCTAGATATACTCAGAACTCCCAGAACAACAAGGAATAAGTTCTAACAACTCCCGAAACTGCAAGAACTCTCAGGCCGATACCATAGTGAGAGCAAAGAGAAGCGAAAAGGCGAGAAAAGCGTTGAAACGAAAGTAAGGAATAATATGGGAATTTCCATCAATGATATTATTCCTTACATCAGTGTTCATTCGGCTGTCGACAGACGCGGGCCCCTCTCGACATGTGTCACGCGATCATCTGTGTACTCGGCAGCAACCATTGTATGGTCCCCTCATTGTTCTTCATCAGCAGTTTCAACCATTTCGTGATGAGTGTGAGAGTGATGACCACGTTTTGCGTCCATTGCTAACAATAGAAGCACTCTGCCCCCCGTTGGCGATTCTGCCATACCATGAAACCACTGGAAGGATCCTATTCTGACGGAGGAGGCTTATTGGATAGCGGAAGATAAATTGTTTATTGTGTTGTACCCAGAGCTGGTAAATATCACGGCCGTCATGTGACAATGAGAAAACAGGCCCTCTCACTATCACGAGACGAAACTAACTATCATTGGCTTTCTTGTCATTTTCCAATGATGAAGCACTCATGAGAATAATTCTTATGCGGTTTTGACATCAACATTTCTAACCGATCTAGATGAATTTAAGCAAGCAACTGTATGTAATCGGCAGAGTGAATATATTATTAAGATTTCCTCGGAACTAGAAACATTAATAGCAATAAATGATTACACCACTGTCACGCTCTGAAATTCTATGAGATTTTGAAGAAAATCTCTATCATCGTTTTCTCATCCGATGATAGTGACAGAAGTATCTCTGTAAATATCGCGTAAGATCTTTCATTGGAAATGACATTTGCCAGGCCTGGTTGTACCTTTTGACTCTAGTTTTACGATGTTTTGTATGGTGAACAAGAATCCTCGGCTCTGTAACGTTAATTCGATTGAGCCTTATCAAATAAATCAATAAACTAAAAAATGTTCCCAACATCCGCCTCAGAAGTTCTAAAATTCTTCAGGTGTCCGAGAATATTGGTAATTCATTAATCTTTCGGGATTCTCAGAAATTCCGGTGCTCTGGAAAGCATTTGGAGCTTCAATAATTTTGGGAACAGCAAGAATGTTTCCGAAATTCCAGCTAGTTTCCGATGGGGACGCTGGGCATGCAAAACATGTCGATACTTCGTGTTTTTTTAGAGTACTAGGAAGCTTCAAAAACTCTCCAGCAAATCTAAAAACTTCAAGAACATTCGGAACTTGATAAACATCTATTACTCCTAAAATGAACTCTAGAAAAAAAACACTCCTGCTTCCATTAAGACTTAATGTTCCGAGAATTCTAAATTTGTTTAGCGTTTATATTCTTGGAATGTGTTTTCGGTGTTTCAATAGTTTGGAGAACTCTCGAAGTTTTCCAAGCTTGCGATGGTTCCTGGAATGATTACAGTACCGGGGATTTGAGAGTTACCGAAGTTCTAAAGTAGCTCTTTTAATTTCAGGAACTTGGAGTTCCAAGAGCTACGAATGTTCCACGAAAAACTCCGTACAATCAATGTATGAATGTGTTTACTGTCTACCTATTCAAATAATTTAAAAAGTTTCTATTGAAAACCACCATACCAAACGAAAGTTTAGGAAATGTTGGCTTTTGAAAATTTAGCTTTACGGAAGTTACAGGAGTTCTTGGACTTAAAAGAACTCTGATCTCCAATAGATCCAGTTGGTTCATCTGCTTCATTGACGACGTGGACATTAGAGTGATGCAAAATTTGAAATTTTCGCTCCACACTACTTAAACGGTTCCAAATAGGATTCTGACTAACCTCTCAAAATTTGAACCCATTTGGTGAGAAACTGAGATGGCACAAACCATTTGAAGTTTGAATGGGAATTACTATGGTAAAACCAAGATTCTCGTTCATGTCTATCTGATAATTCACCATATTGGTCTGCTTCAAAAGTTTTCATTTGTACTTGTAGGCTACAACAGCTACAACTTTGCTGAAGACCACTTTTTAATTAAATGAAAGGATCGAAGGTTATCAATGGTTCAATACGCTGATGTCTTATGATCATGCTCAATCAACTGCTCAGCAGGCAACATTGGTGTTTCTGGGGTGTTGAATAGGACACACAAATCATGGCTACTATGTCACACTGCAAAATACAGTGTTGCCTACAGAGCAGCTGCTTGATCATGCCATAAGTTTTCCAATCTCTTAAATAATTAATCACTTTGTCCTGTCTCGTTTTACATAGAAACGATCTTCAGCAAAGTTGTAGCTGAGAAAATGTTCTATAAGAATGGCTATCGAACTGTTTCGCAGCTCAATATGGAAAAAAGACTAGAAGGCAATGAGCAAAAAGTTTAGATTTCCCATAGTAATTTACACGTAAACTTCAAATAGCTTGTGCGAAGTCTGTTTCTAACCAAATGAGTTGTAACTTTGACATTGCTTGGTTGCTCGGTTGCTAAGAGCTTGGTTGTAGACACTTTCATTGTACATTTCATAACCATTCCCAACCATGCGAAAAATTCCTTACGTATTTTGTTTTCGAGAAACTGTTTCACCGCAGCTACCAATGTTCTGTCCGGCACTTAGTGTTGTTCTAGTTCATAAAATCCTAACAAAAATAGATAGTAGCAGTTAACAGCTCACTTCCAGGTTTGCATAAAAGTTAATCTATCGTTGCCAGACAAAAAAAAAATACAAACTTAATCCTATGCAAGTGTAAACAAAAACATGAAAAATGAAATTGTATATAGAACCTTTCAACGGTCAACCTAAATCACAGCGTTTTAACGCCCGCTTCCTCATTTCACGTCCGTTCACATTGCCTGTTCTGTTCTGTTCACACGCACATTTTGGGGGGCCCATCCAGCATTTCTCGACCAAGAAGCAGTCAAACCTGAAGCTCTGTGAGAGTATGTGTATGTGTTTGTGTGTCTGTCTGTTTCTGTTTGTGTATTCTACAAGTTTTGTTTGTTCTACCATTTGATTCGGCAATGTGTGGTAACTTGTCCGGTATGTTCCGGTTTGTTCTTATTTGTCCGCTTATTTGTTGCTTTCTTCACCTTTTTTGACTTTGTCTTTGCGTTTGCTTTTTTTTCTTACAAATTAAGTTTTCTTAAAAATATATATACGCTTACAACTTTATCCACTAATCTTAAGCTACATTTATATTGTTTTTTGACGGCTTGTTTTTTTTTTGCTACTACGTTTATATTACTACCATTCTTGGTAAATCACAAATCACTTGTCTTTTTTTCTTTCTTAATTATCTTCTTGTTCCGAATTGTTTGCTTGAACATAACTTTCCACTCACAATGTGTATTACAAATTACAATAAGACTCTAGACGTATAGAGACTACGTTTAAAGCGCAGTTGTCAAACCAAACAGATATTGATTGAAAAAAAGCGCGCACTCACTCTGTCTTATTTGAGTTTTGGCTATGTTTGACTATTGTTTTCCTCTAACCCTCACACATATCGATATCGAAAGCCATACTAGTGTTCAATTAAGTTTACATTTCTGCTGTTATTAAGTCTTGTCGGTTGCTTTTATCGGACTGTTTTGCTGCTTGGGAAGCATTATTTCAACCAAAATGTTTTGTAACGTTACAGTGAAATGCAAACCACGCTCGGTAGTCACTCACTTGGTTGGAGTGAGCTGCTGTTGTTACATTTTGCCCAAGCCGATAATTTTGGAAATGCATATTTGTGTGTGTATGTGTGTTTTGTCTGCTGATATTGGTTAGCTCAAAGCAATCATGTCCAATAAACTATTTACTAACAATAGATATTTAATTATGAATGTCCTGTTGCTAGTACGAATTACCTGCTTCGTACTATTTTCGCAGTGTTCAAATGGTTATACTGTTGTGTTAAGTAAGAATATATTGAGAGGAGAGGATTAAGCAGCTTGTTTTGGAGAACGACGGAAAATATATGTATGTGTGTAGTAGTGTGTAATAGGTATTAGTGTCCGTAGCTTATGTGCTATTTCGTCTACTTTACTTAACAATCTAGTGCTTCTGATGAAGCTGTAACCGTTTGACTTCCACCTCCAGCTCCCTGACTCGCTTTTCGGAATTGTTGAGAGACTTTCGCAGGCTCTTGATTTCCTCAGCTTGTTTGTTGAACGCTTTTCGGAGCTAGAAATAAAAAGATGGGAATAGCTTGTTATTGATTGTCAAGAGAATTAAGGACGTGGTTTAAATTCCAGGTGTTCCTGGTCAATAGTTCAAAAACTACCTGTTTTGTTTAAATAAATTTATCCCAGAGAAAATTTCCTGGATTTAATCCTGTTTGTGGCCAACAATTGAACATTAGTTATAAGAATATTTTAATGATTCTACCAATTTTTTTGGAAATGTATTTGAATTTCGGAAGAAAATTCATGCTTAGAAATTCAGGTCGTGTAACCGGTTTCAACGGTAATACCGTGCCATTCTGCAATACCGAAATACCGGTTTTTAAACTTCTGAAAATTGATAATTTCGGTTATTTTTATGTCCAAAGATTGTAGTTTAATAGTTCAATGAGAGCATTTAAAAGGTTTACTGACCTGATAGACTTTAATAATCAATCAATTAAAAAACTACAAGGGACAGCCCTATGGGGTTGTACGCAATGGTGATGTAGGACTACGTGGTCTTATATAATAAATCTTATTTGCTAACTGCAGCAGGAGCTTGTGTTTTGTGCAGGAATAGGAATTTGAGTTCTCTTTGCTTATACTCTTTACGCGCTTGACATAGATGGCCCACAGCAACTCACGAAGAGCTACTGATTCCGATCAATAGTGGTGCGGCTTCTTCCTCCTTCTATGCATGCTCATGTGGGCTGCAGCTCGCTTATTGTAGGCAGCCTTTCGTTGTGTACTAGAGAACACCACCACGCACCACGCGGTGATTGAATAAACACCGTTTGGTGAGACCGGATGGAATTCAACTTTGAAATCTGTGTTAGGGAAATCGCTTTTCGCAGACAATCGGTGATAATTGTAACTATCATAGCAACAGTTGCACATTTGTGCAATTTTCAACAGTGGAATTTTGAAAAATGATGATGCCTAGAAACAATTCTGATCGATTGGTGATAAAATTATTGGAATTGGTCCAGGGGTAGCTGAGTTATTAACGTTCAAAATCTTTCATAATTGTGTTACATGTTCAATTTCCGGTTTTACCCCCGGTCCTCCATATAGAAATCACAGACGTAGTCCTACGTCAAAATCTTATGTTTTAAGATTCTTCAAAACGGTTATTGAGCTATATTCACTATTCTAACTTGCACCTCTAAGCGGCGCCGGTGGTGTAGTGGTAAGCGTGATTACCTCTCACCCCAGCAGGCCTGGGTTCAATCCCAGTTGGCTCCGCCGGGATGTTCTGTGGCATAACATCTCTGATCACGCCTTCCTTCGGAAGGAAAGTAAAGCCGTTGGTCCCCGGTTCATGTGTTGATGGGTCGATAGGTAGGGTCCAGGCGTGGGAGCTGCCTTCCTGGCGTCGGTAGCATTGGTGCTCAGCACGGAAAACAAGATCGACGGAAAATAAATCAAGGAAAAAATATACCTTGTCTTTCTTGGTAAAATTATTTAACAGATGTTTGGCATACTTTCCTGATAAATGGAAAAATGCAAAAGTTGTTCCAATTTTGAAACCGAATAAAAATCCAGCTGAAGCTTTCTAGCTACCGTCCAATAAGTTTGCTTTCTTCAATAAGTAACCTTTTTAAAAAGATCAATTTAAATAGAATGATGCTTCACAACAATACGAACTAAATTTTTGCAAATGAGCAGTTTGGATTTCGCCATGGGCATTCAACTACTCAACAACTCTTAAGAGTTACCAATTTAATTCGAATATGATGAATTTTACATATCTTACCCCTGATGATAATAGGAAAAGAAGAACCTACGCCGTAATTTCCACTACTTAGAATCAATTTGAAGAACGTTTTAAAGCTCGGGACCTTTCATGATTTCAAAACGCCAAAATTTACAACTTAACAGAGTCATGGATTTTTTTTTAAGGGCATTTTGCCGAACACTATAGAGTTGAATGGGTCTAAACCAAATTTTATAGTAAGAGATAAATTTAAGCAATTAGCCGAAATCTTAAAAAAAAATATTTAAAAAAATCCAATATTCTGAGGTTTTGACATTTACTTATAACCTTGTTATAACTTGATTAGTGAAATTTGTGACTTATGAAAATCGTCGCAATCCTAGAGAGTAGGCTGTGCGTGTGTTCGAACCTGACGTTTGTTTTTTTTATCTATAATCGGTTGTTGATCTGGCCATAACCAGGCCCAGGAGACAATTTCTAGTTCCTCATTCTAGGTCCCTATTATTTGCCTCTGAGAAGCTGTTCCGAAACCAAGTAGAACCTCCACGAGTCGTCCCATCATTAGTTCCATCATTCGTTGAGTCGCAGCGTTGAACCAAAAAAGGTTTGCCAATGCACATCAAAAACCGACTAAATACATCCGAACATTTGTTTATCTCAAATCGAAGGAAAACATTCCGCGCAACTACCATAAACTGGACTAGTTCATGTTGATCTTCGTCAAGCTTCGTCTACAATTTGGACTTCCATGTCCAGGCAGTGTTCAGGTTCAATTGGCTAAACTTGGTGAGTTCGTTCCATTTTGTAAATTTTTATCTTTTCAAACCAGTAACGTTCAACTTTTCGTGGTTCATTACTGGTATAAGATCTACCACCAAACCCTAGTCGTGACAACTTCAAACAAGGGAATCAGGATTTTCCAGTAATCAAAGGATCACATTTTAGTCCTTGTTAGTCCTTGACCGGAGGACAGCCAGAGGAACAACCAACGGATGGGCCCAGGCTAATAAAAGCCATGAGTGGCTTTGGGGCCCTCTCTAGGACACTGGCTATCGCGGGTCAGCTCGATGCGATTATCGAGTTCGCTAGTACGCGGAACAATATCGCAAAGGACCTCAAGCAGGCTTGTGACAGCTCCGCGCAACGGTGTACGAGGCCCAAGACGACCACATGCGGCTAAAAAAACGACTGGAAGTCGCCGAGAGGGTGGAGAAGAGGGAACCGAAGTCTACCCAGACGGACGCCTTCAACTTCGCAGGCAACAGTACGATCATAGAGGTAACTCTAGGACTAGAAGGTCCCGAAATAACGTGCTCAACTTTTTGGCTCAACTCTGGTACCCTCTTCGGTCCCAAGCTAATCGATTCACCCCTCGAAACAGAGGAAAATCCACTAACCCCTCATTCTATCTGTCAAACTTTCATAGTGAATCAAAACAAACATTGTGTAGTAGTAGAATTTCGACTAGAATGGGGCAAGTTAATCGTTTGCTTGGGACTAGTCAAGTAGTGAGCCAATTTAAAATCGTTAGTTTCGTATTGATTGTTGGTACGATGGTCAGCGAGGCCCTCCACTTTGCCGTGACACAAGGGCAGAAGCACGACCGACCCTCGCCAGTAAAGGGTGTAGCACGCTCTAAGAGACGGAAAGTCTCAGCCCAGGTAGAGTGTGTGGCCGTGGTTGAGCAGTCCAAGGCAGCAGTGGACGAGCCGCAGAAGTGGCCTACAATAGGTATAAAAGCGATTGAGAAAGGTGTTTCTAGGCAGGGTGACAACAAGGGCGCTCCTCCAAAGCCTCTGGATAAAACTGCCCCTAAGAGCAGCACTGCCCGGAACAAACACAGGACAATGGGCGAGGCTCTCATTATCAAGACGGAAGCGTCGAAGTACGCGGAAGTCTTGAGGAAGATGATAGCTGACGACCGTCTTGTGGAGATGGGCAATAACGTGAGGAGCATCAGGCGCACTCGTACTGGCGAGATGCTCCTGGTGTTTAAGCGTGGCACTAGAGACCAGGGACCGACTTTCCAGAAACTGACAAACGAGGTCGTTGGAAATGGGGTGCAGGTAAGATCGCTAGGCTCGATGATCACCATCCAGGTTAAGGACTTGGATGAAGTGACAGAGGCGACCGAACTGGCCAAGGCGCTCAGGGAGCAGTGCCAAATCGAGGTACCGCCAACAGCGGTGGGCTGGTCGGTTTGCCCAGTGAGCATCCCCAGACCGGTTATGGCTTGCTTCAGGTGCTTCGGTCAGGGCCATTTGGCTCGGGACTGTAAGAACACCGATAGGAGCAAGCTGTGCAAACGGTGCGGCTCGTAGGACCACAAGGCGCAAGGTTGCCAAAAGCCGCCGAGGTGCACTATAGGCGTGGAGAAGGGGAAATCCCCTAAAAACCACATGGCAGGTGGCCCACGCTGCCCGGGGGCCAAGAGCAATGCTGCCCCGGCCAAGAGCATTGCTCAGCCATGTTCGAGGTAGCGCAGTTGAAGCTGAACATTTGCTCGGCTGCCCAGCAACTGTTGTGGCAATCGGCAGCGGAATGGGGAGTGGATGTCGCAATCATCTCTGACCCGTACCGTGTCCCATCCAGCCACGGGAATTGGGTCACGGACGCGTTGGGGATGGCGGTGATATGCACGATGGGGAGCTTCCCCGTTCAGGAGGTAGTCTCGTCCAACTCGAGCGAGGGATTCGTGATCGCCAGGGTTAATGGAGTATATTTAAGTAGCTGTTATGCTCCGCCCAGGTGGTCTATCGAGCAGCTCTCGCAGATGGTGGACAGACTCATTGCGGTACTTCTCGGCCTAAGACCGGTGGTCATTGCGGGCGACTTGAACGCATGGGCGGTGGAGTGGGGCAGCCACCAAACCAACCAGAGAGGATGCATCATACTGGAGGCAATGGCCAAACTGGACGTTGTACTAGCCAACACCGGCTCGGTCAGTACCTACAGAATCCGTCATTGATGTGACGTACTGCAGCCCGTGTTTGGAGGGCAACCTACACTGGAGGGTCGATGAGGGTTACACCCATAGTGACCATCAGGCGATTCGCTACAGTGTGTGGCCAGGTGAGAGGCGAGTGGCAGGAAGGAATCCTTCCTGCGCTCGAGGCTGGCGGACGTCGTTTTTTGATGAAGAGGTCTTCGGTGAAGCACTGAGGCGGGAGCGAATAACCCTGGATCTGACGGGTGAAGAACTGGTAGCAGCGCTGACAAGGGCGTGCGATACAACCATGCCTAGGAGAGCCTATCCCCGGCATGGCCATAGACCGGTGTACTGGTGGAGCGAGTCGATCGCT